GTAAAGTGTCTTGCCTAAGAACACAACACAATGACCCTGGCCAGGGCTCAAACCCAGACCACCCGATCCGGAGTGGAGCACACTAACCATGAGGCCACCGCGCCTCCACAAACAAAGAACAGTGTTGCTGCATACATCCCAGCTGTCTTGAGGCAGGAGCAAAAAAAGATTTTTTGTCATTATTGTGAAAAGTATCACTCCTAGTTTAGTTCCCTGAGGCACACCTCTCTCGAGGAATTCCAATCTGATAGTGTTGCATCTATTCTTACAGCCTGCTGTCTGTCTGTTAGGAACACTGCAATACAAGTGAGGAGCGTGGGATCAACCTCTAGTTTTCGCAACTCAGTCATTAAGATGTTATGGTCAATTAGATCAAAGCCTTTCCAGAAGTCAGCAAAGAAGACCTGGGCTCCTAGATCAGCACAATCTACTGCCTCATAAATGGCTTGTAACATGAATAGAAGAGCATCTGTTGTCGAGTGGCCTCTACATGCAAACTTTCGCTGGTCGATTTTTCCATGTAATTATGGCAGTAGTTTATTGCATGTGAATCCCTCCATGACTTTTGCCAGTGTACAAGTGAGCGCTATTGGTTGGAGATCACTCTTTATTTCTCTTGGTGGGTTTACCTTCAGGATTGGGGTGACAATGAAAGATTTTAGAAGTGATGGGATGTATCCTTCCTTAAGAGACTGGTTGTTTCGAATGACAGGAGCTAACTTGTGCGCAAAGTCCTTAAGCTGTTTATTTGGGATATTGTCGGGTCCTACAGCTTTTGCAACATTAAGCGACAACAGGGATCGGAACACTTCCTCGTTGGAGACAAAAAGTTCCTGTGGTACCAGGCTTGGGGGAGAGTCACCGGTCAAAGGTGTAAAATGGTCTGTAAGACTTACAAAAAAGTCGTTAATCTTATTTGCAAGTAATTTGGGATTCATAGTATCCCCAAGAAACAGATGGTACCACTCCTGCTGAATGTCCTGGCCTGTGAGTGACTTTATTTGCCTCCACCAGTTACTGAAATAAGTGGATTCCTCTTGAGCAACTTTATCGTGATAGTAGTGATTTTTAGCTTTTTTGACCTCACCCTGGACCTTGTTCCTCCAAAATGTGTAATTCTAAGAGTCCTTTCCATGTCTGAGAAATGCAGATTGTCTTTTGCGAATGCAAGATTTCAGTTTTTTAGAAATCCAGGGACAGTCAGTTGGGTGTTTCTTAACTATTTTTCGTGGAAGGAAGGAATCAATAGCAGAAGTAAGTTCCATCATCAACAGCCTGAACTTGTCTTCACAAGACTCAGTATTAAGAATGGAGTACCAGTCCTTCTTGGTCATCCAGCACCCCAGTGCACACCATGCACTGTCTTGCATATCACGTGACTATTTTCTTAATGACCAGTGTTCAGATGATATCATTGGTCTGGCCAAGATGATATAATGATCAGATGATGTGACTTTGGGCAATTGTGATACACTGAACAACTTTGGTCTATTTGTAAAAAGCCAGTCCAGCATGCCTGAGTCTCTAGTTTTGAAAGTTACAAGCTGCTTAAGATGGTTGGCTTGAGAGATATCTTTTGACTTTAATCCTGTTGTGTGATGATTGAAGTTGCCGGTAATTATAACCAGGGCATTTGGCTGGTCAGATAATAGCATGTCAAGATTTCTTTGAATGTGTTGCCGCAAAGTCACATTCTCAGCTTCACGGTTACTAGTAGAGTGGTATATCACACCTAACACAATTGATGTAATTTGTCTTGGTAGACAATGCGGCCTCATTGATATCCAAATTGATTTGACTTCATCTTGATTACAAGATTCTAGGAGTTTACATGGTACTTTGTGATCTAAATAAATACACACTCCTCCTTCTATAGTAATTTGATCCTTGCAAAATAGATTGTAACCAGGGATAGCAACACAAGAATCTGGCACCTGAGGCGATAGCCAAGTTTCAGTAATGCAAATAGCACTTATAGAGTTGAGCTCCGCAATTTTTTGAATCTCATCCACCTTGTTCGTTAATGCTCTCACATTTGTTGACAGGATAACAGCTACATCGTAAGATTTCTGATGTTTGACCTTCCTTAAGACGCTTTAATTCACTGCTCTCCCTGGTTTATCAAATTTGCGGATGGCTATACTGCTTGTTTGGGGTTGTTTACCAAGTTCGCTACAAGTTATCCTACATGGAATTGGTCTTTGACTGGCATAAGGCTTCTCTCCTTGGGAACACTGAGCACCACGGTATCTTAAAAGCCCATTTGCCTTAAGTCTCCCAAGACAAGTCCTGAATTCCTGGTCACGGTACTTTTGGGAACAAAGAGCAAATAATTCTTGTTGGCTATAAATCCTGCAAGCCGCAAATGATGACAAATGGGGGTTGTCCTTGTTGTTCGGTCTTTGCAGCTGTAAATTGACCAAGCTACTGGTGTCATTCTGAGGCTTTGGAGGTCCTGGGTTGGCATGAACATCCATACATTCTGTAAGATCTTTAGGTGGAAGAAAGACGCAAATAGAAAAATGCCTGCTTCATTCTACAGCTGGTCTATTTGGGGCGTTCGATAGGTTTTTGTTCAACCAAGTTTGTCCAGCACACTAAGCAGGGATTTTCACATGAAATAAATGGCTATTTGTCGACTTTAAATCCTTACCTCTTGATTTAACATATACCAAAGGCAAAAATATCGATGAAACTTACTGACTTACACCATTGCTGCTCTAGCTTTCTTCGTTTATTCTTCTCTACGTCAATAGAGTCATTATACCAGGGTGCATGGGGTCTAAAAATAATTGTACGCTTCTTAGGGGGTGTATGTGTCTAAGAGACTGGTCAGCGTACTCTCAAAGTTCTCTACAATTGGTGTAACTTCCATATCTTGATGATCAAATAGGAGCATTGAAGACATCATGTCAGTCTGCAGTAATTTAGTGTCTACCGATTCAAGCTTCCTGTAAGTAATATCTTTCTGCTCAAGTAGTGGCAAACAATATAGGGTTGATTACACCTAGCATAATGCGGACTCCAGACAAAAAGTCCTCATCAGCACAAGTGATGAGCAGATATAAGGTATTTCCATTCTTGTGAGTTGGTCCACTTACATGTTGTTCAGGGTTAAATGTCTTTAGCATGCAAAGAAACTTCTTTGGATAAGTTTCTGATGGCTTGTTTATGTGAAAATTGAAATCGCCAGTGAACAAAAGCTTAGATGAAGAAGTTTCTAAACGTTCCAGTAAGGTATTAAATTCACTGAAAAAATCATTCTCTTTTAAGCTGTTCTCTTTAGATGGCAGAGGCCTCTATATGATTATGAGTTGAAAGCAGGCATTTGCATATTTCACAAGCACATCCATATATTCAAATGACCTAAATTTAACCAGGTTCTATTTCCTAATTTGCAGAGATTTTTTCCCAGACTTTTTTCCAAAACATCAATTTATTTTTAGACTGAAGGTTATCAGATAGGTGATCAATAGAGATCTTGAAAAATGCAGGAACCAAGCTTCTTTCATGATGCACTGCAAATGTATAGTAACCATGGTGCAATGCAAACATAAGAGAATTATAAAACTTCCCATTCTGTGATTAAATGTCTTAGCTACGGGCAAGATCGAACTGACCACAGGGGAAAAAATTAACTTATAAAGCATTTTTTGTAGCTATAAAAAACTCCAGACTTGAACTATTTTTTTAGACATCATCTCCATTTTCAAGACTATTTCCAGGTCTGGAAAATCAAGACTTTTTCAAGAATTTATGACTCTGTACGAACCTTGTTCTTTTTACGGTACATGTATTCACACTTTCAGTGATTTTTAAATGTTTTAAGGTAGAATGACCTTTAGATAAGTACTGTACAGCGTTAAAAGGTTTTGACTGAATTAAAGCTACTTGATGTTTCTATCACTTGCTAATTATTTTCCTGAATATTGGCAAAGATCAGTCATCTGAAATCACTGTAAAGAAAGTTGATTAACTGATGCAGCATTTTTATGTACCTTGACTTTAACAGCACAAGTTGCAGTTGCCCTATACAAATTTCTATATCATTTGATTACTTTACCCTGATAGCATTGCAGATGAAACAGAACTGTAAGTAAGTTTATTAAATCTCCGCCCAGTGGCTCTTCTGATTTAATTTACAATAGTTGGAAATGGAATAAAACTACCTATAAAAGTTACAATAATATCATGATAAAGAAACAAATACAAATAAATAATTAACATGTTCTTAAAATTCTCTACCTAAAAAAGATTCCTACAGACTGTCGTATATTTTGCGCTTTACTGCACGCTTGAAAACTGAGAGTGTTGCGCTATTTTTCATTTCTTCACTTATAAGAGAATTCCAGGCAGTGATTGCTCTATAACTAAAAGACCTCTGTGTTGTGGCTGTCCTACAAAAGGGTACAACTAAGTTGTCTCTAGATTTAGTATTGTAGCTGTGGATAGCTGATCTTTTGTTGACGTAACACTCTAAGTATGGTGGTGCAAGGCCATGGACTATTTAGTATAGCATCGTAACATCACGTACTAATAACTGGTTCTTAATAGAAGGCGAACACAGTGC